CGGCATCACTTGGGATAGATGATTTAAGGAAAAAACAATGCCGTGAATTTTGTCCTCATTAAATAACAACATCCAAGTAGCACTCATATGGTCCCTTTTTTTCCATTTTTCGATGCTACTCGGGCCATTGGCAGTGACGGAACAGCAGTCCCCAATCTCTGCTGGCCCCAAGGCAACAGTTCTCATCAAGCTACCAACTTCCTAATTTCCTGTAGCTGAGAGTTGCCTCTAAGACCAAGGTTGGGAACGACCGCTGTAGGGAGGGCTCGGGAGACATGCGGCTCTGCCAAACTCACGGTCGCTCTGCAGGTTCTCCAGTGACGAAACCTGTGCACTGAACTCTGCTGGAGGAAGAGCCAGAGAAGCTCACATGCGCTGGGGCACCCATGGTTACAACACCGAACACAGGCTCTGCAGACAGCGCGCACGCGTTTTTCGTTGGCACGCATGCAACTGCCATCAGCACACAGGCATGCACAGCGCTACAGGGATCCGAAGGGAAGTGTTAATAGAACACTGAATTAAAGAAACAAAACAGATGTCACTGGAGCAGGTCTAAGAAAAAAAAATCAAGTCATTCCTCGTTCTGACTGCTTTTAAACTGGTCGTCAAAAGGAGGAATGAGTGAGAAATACAGGAAGTACATCATTACCACATTATTCCTTAAAAAGAAGAGTTAAAAATAATAAACTTTTCTTAGAGCTCACAGGTTTTAACATTATTCTACATTCATACTTTTTCCATACTTTTTTCCTTCCAGTCTTTGTTTACACTAGTTTGTTTACACTAGTTATCTAAGCTATCTGCCCTCTCAAAGCAAAAAGAATTAGAAATGCTGCATTACACTAAAGGACAAGTATTGTTAACAATGAATTATTGGAACTAGTGCTACTGCAACTTAATTCTGTTAGGCTGGAAAACGATTATAATTTGCACAAGTATTAAAGACATTCTCATTTCTGCGGTGGCGTAAGAATAATTAATTCATCAATTTTGATTCACAATTTATGATTGTTCAAAAATCAGAACAGATCAGGTTGCCTTCATTTATCAAAACTCACAAGAATAGGACTTCTGTTCGTGTACGTAGCTTGCATGAGATATTCCAAGATTGTTACTTTAAAAGTTCATATTTTTATGCCTTTAGAAAAGCACTGGCTCACAAAAGACAAAGATACTTACACACAGGCTTTCCTAGAAATTTTGATTTGTTCACGTGCCGACACTCATACGTTAACAGTCAATAACTGCAGGCTACTTCTGCGTTTTCTTCCAAGAAAACATACTACAAAGATCAGTGTGTTCTTACTTACGAAACCAGCACACCGAATCTCCCTTATTTGAAACCACGTCCGATATTCTTCTGCTGGAAACACACAAATTGTAAACTGCCTAAGCACTGTTTTTCACAATCCACCAGGACTCAGATACTCCCCTCTCCTAGTCTGTGACATAAATTTACATACAGTTACACAAACAGATGCATATGTTAATATTCTTAATTGATATCTGGATGCAGAGATGTAACCTTTTTTGATCTTGGGCAACGGGACCTTCCAGCTGTAAATTCTAAAGGACATCTCGTCAGTCAGCACACTGAGAATCTGCATTTCATCAGAAGTTCTTTCAGAAGGACAGGGAAGAGGATGTCCCCGTGCGTACCAAGTCTCGCTCTCACATCTCCAGTCTTCACAGAAGACAGTTCCACCCAAAACAAAATAAACTATTGCTCTTTCAAACCGATGGCTTGTATTTCAAATCATTTGTAGTGATACCTCTCTCACAGACAGGCGGCGATATGCAACAAGGCTCCCAGTTCTGTACCATTTAACTTCAGATTTCCAACCGGGGTATCCTATCCTCCAGCAGCGCCAATATTTTTTACGTGGTGCGACAGGATGCATCGTCCTGTGATATACAGCTACCTTATTGTGATACGCCAGTAAAAAGCTTTGCTACAAGACCCGTGCTCTAGCTACATAAATGCATTCCTTTTACCTGTACATCAGTGCAAGACCTCCAAAACACTCCCGGCTGCTCCAGTTCAGGCAGCAAAGGCATCTGCTTGGAAAGTCCAATCCGCACCAAAAATTTTCCAGATGACACATGACAGCAAGTCTCCTTTAGCGGGGCTGGGTTTGGATTACGACTATAAAGCTGCCCAATACACAGGATCAGGCACAATGCTGCTTCTATGGCTACATGGGGAAGATAATACTTCTTTCTCTGAAGCTATTCCTTCTTTTATTTCCCCAATGGTCTTAATAAACACTCTCTTTTTAAGTATATGGAACTAAAGTCCCTGAAATGTAAGTACTAGAGGTTATTTTCTGAATTCTTCAGCTTGCTGGTTTAACCATTTCACACCATTCACATGTGGCAACATGTGCAAGCAATTCAGAGTTATTGCCTGAACAAATTAAAACTTATTCAGAAGAAAATATATTTTTGAAATGTAGGCTATCATATACGGATATGAAACCAACAAGGCTTAAGAAAATTTGCAATGACTTAGGAAAAAAAGTGATGTGAAAAGACAGTGTTTCTATGCCTTTGATGCAGCAGTCATTAAACCATATTTAAAGGTGCTCACAGGTTTTTATCTGAACATTTCAACTCTACTATTTGAATTATTGCCTACACAGAGATACCCAAGTAGAAGGGAAGCACCAATCATTCAAGCAGAATGCTACACAGATTGGGAATGTAGAAGTTGCTTTAATTACTACTACTTTATATGGTGCACATTTCCAGAGTGGACAAGAATTAGCCTCGATCCTCTAACATAACCTTTGAAAATGTATTGATCTCAACCATATTAGATTCAATAAAGATTATCCTTATTATTACAAGACCTTTTAAAAATAACCAAGGATGACAGTTTAATTGGAGCAATGCATTTTGTAACATATCTACTCCTCAGAGAGTAAATAAAACCTGATAAATAAATAAAAAAATACATGTGGTAACTGAATAAAAGATAATTGCGCCTTGAATTATTAAACCCCTACCACACTCATATAGAGCAATTCAATATTAATTTTGTAGGTCATCTTCCCTGCATTGTGACACGAATGCTCTGATTATACCACAGCTTCATTGGAACTGCTCTGAGATCCGTATTTTGGGAAGACTGGCTTCTAATAATAAACACAAAGCCTCAGATTAGGCATCAGAATCTTAATCTGAATCTTGGGCATTTTCAGAATGAAGTCCCATATAAGGGTTTGAATGGGAAGATAAACTGCTCGCTTGAGCTAAACGAAGAGGATTAGCTTACCGAACGGAAAGCTAATAATGAAAGTTGTAATGGCACAAAACCAGTTCTCCCTCCTATTACAACCCCTCAGCTGGATATGAAAAAAGTTCCTGCCCAGCAAGTCTATGGTGCTCCCTTTACTTCTGACGTTCAGTTGCAAATTCACCCATACCCACACAAAAGACACGCTACACTGCAGTGTCCTGGTTCCCCTTTCTCACCTGTGATTTTCTTGAGTGCTCTTTGTGCAATAGCCCATACCACCGAGTGTCACAGTAGCTACCCTACCTGCATGGCGAAAAAAGGAAACTAACATGCTGTGCACACAACAGCTCCTCACATAACAATACAGTGTTTCTGTGCAGCATGATTTAGGATTATCACAGAATCCCAGAATGGCAAGGGTTGGAGGGGACCTCGGGAGATCACCCAGTCCGACCCTCCTGCTAAGGCAGGGTCACCCAGAGCAGGCTGCACAGGGCATCGTCCAGGCGGGCTTTGAATATTATGGCAGGATAATGCCAAAGCCAGTGGAAAAACAGGGCTGTTACCAGCTGACTCAGAAATGCTGGTCTGCACCCAAATACACACACAAAAAAACCCACCCAGAATGAAATACGTTTTTCAGTTTAAGTGATAAACACTTTTGTGGTGCAAATTTGCACGAGAGTATTCTGAGTTGTCTGGACAAACGTATTGCTAAAAGAAAGGAAAATGCACTGTTCAAATAAACTTCCTGCATGTTTTCCACTATTTTTGTTAAGTTCTAGCAGAACGTCAAGAAGAAAATTGATGGGTGAGAAACCTGTTTTCAACACTCTACACCTCTGTCAGACCAAACACCTAGTTCCAATACCTGACTTACTAGGCTGTTTAATAATAGCTAAGAGAAAAGTAGAAAAACAGCAACATTCCAACCCGGCAATATCCCTCAGGCATGCAACAGAACGACGTGCTGCGCTGCAGCACACAGAAGCATACATCCTCTTAAAAAACCCACAGTCGACCATATCCATGGAAAATCCTGGCCCTCCCTGAAGCCAAAGGAATCCACATTATTTAATTAATCCACAAATTAATCCACATCTCTGAGCAGATGTCATCTCTCTCATTTCTACCACAGTTGTAGTACTTCTGCTCAAGTCAAAAGTCAACTGACAAGAAGCTCATAAAATACATCCAACTAGAGACAGACTTTGTCACAACCAACAGGATCTATAAAACTGGAAACTACCTTCACTCACGACTAAGCAGCTCAGAAAACTGAGATTGATGAACTAATTGCAATAAACCTAGAAAACCACACAAATTTTGTAATTTAAATCTGGTAGTGAAATTGAAAATTGTCAAATACTTCACCACCAGACGCAAAAAAGCAGAAATACTACCTTTCTTCAAGTTTCCTTATTTTGAGCGTGGAATAGGATTCAAATGTTCTTATCTAGAGATGGCAGCACTAGGTCCAAAATTCTTCACCAGTGGTTTACTGATATTTTTTCATATTAATCAGCATCATTCACCTGAAATAGGTGTTCCATCTGGATCCCTCAGTACTACCTCAGGGAGGATCCAGTTCAGATGAAGTATGCTGTACTATACCAGAAAACACTGTCCAGCGTTATTTTAAGAATTGGAAAATTCAAATTAATCTCAGAACATGTGGTTTACTCTTGTCCTTTAAGTCACCCAACCGCAGAGCAATCGCAAGAGCGATGCGACATATTAAAATATTTAAAATTACCACTTCTCGCTGTTCTTCTCTGGGAGCCAACAGAACTGATAACAATATACTTCCCAGATCATGGTCAGGGTAATGAGGATCCTTCAGACTCAAGGTAACATCTGTTTGCCTACAAGACAAAAATATATGCATTTATTCTGATTTCAGGCTCTCAGCTAATGAAATTTCTGAATCATGAGAATTAAAGCAATTTGCACTTGCATGAAACTACTTGAAAATGGCGTCACAAATTTACCGTGTTTCTACTTTTAAGTATTTCAGTCTAAGCATGCATAGATAAATACTAAATACTGTTACTCCATGTTAAGTACTTATGCGTAGTGCAGTAATAAAATCTGAACTGTAACATTAATGGATTAAAAAACAGGGAAAAAAAAAGTTAAACAGTAGATGGTAATGCTGTTAGTGAAGATAATATAAAAACAAGATTAAAGAGGTTATAAAACAAACTGCTCCATAGACACTGTAAAAAATGTTGTGCGTGATCACTTAGCATATTAACATTCATATTAAAGTAATTCCCTAAATACAGGTGCTTTTGCTCCGCCAGTTGTATGTGGGGTAGGTTTACATAATTATTTTCCAGCATAATGTTCTATCTGCAATTCCACAAACGTGGTATTAGCTGGCAACCATAAAGAATGACTCCGCAGGCTTGTTTGTGCCATACCTGTTTAATTCCAATGAAGTGAGATCCAGAAACGCCGAACCAATAAAGTCATCTTGAAGTCCAAAGTCATAGTCAAAGACCTAAAATGCACAGGAGATAAACGCATTTTTCAGTGCGGGAAATTTTTGTGTCTGTGTGTGTGTGTATTTTCTTGCTTTATGAATGGTTCTTGAAACTCCTTTTCCAGAGTTAAGCCAAATGTTCCTCACATGTCAAACCAGGACTGTCTGAAAGTAACCTCCAACTTTCTGGCCACAAAATCAGGTTTGAAACAGCTTATGTAAAAGTGAGAATGCATCATGTTCAAGCACGGGGGTGTACTACTACTAGACTGCATATGTGAACCACATCAACTTTATAAAAACATTTTCATAAGCAGTAAAAGATAGAAGACCAAGAGAATAACAGAAGTTAAGCAGCAGCATTGATTTGCTATATATTAACTGATACCTTCAGCAATTTTGCAAAACACAGGCAGGAGGGCGGGGTATACGATTGTGAAAAGTGGATTATTACAGTCCTTGCATCAGTATTGGGAATGATAAAATTGTAGGTTTTGAAGGTTGCATTAAGTTTTGAGGGCTTAGAAATGTTATAATCTAAGATGAAAACTTAATGGGTGTGTGTAAGGCAACAGTGACATTTATTACTCGACTATGAGGACCCTGCCTGCTGACTTCCTACCTAAAAGAGAAAGCATCTGGACAAACTTAACGACATCCACACAGGAATCTGTGGCCAGTATGTGGAATAGCATCAATGATTTGGGATGGACTATGCCTTCCCCAGTTAGGAGGAAGAATAACAAACTGGGGACAGCATTTGGAGGGAAATAAACAAAAAAAGTGAAGTCCAGAGGAGGCCACAGAAAAGATCTGAGGGCTGGAGCCCCTCTGCTATGGGGAAAGGCTGGGAGCGTTGGGGTTGTTCAGCCTGGAGAAGAGGAGGTTGTGGGGAGACCCTAATTATTTTCCAGCATAATGTTCTATCTGCAATTCCACAAACGTGGTATTAGCTGGCAACCATAAAGAATGACTCCGCAGGCTTGTTTGTGCCATACCTGTTTAATTCCAATGAAGTGAGATCCAGAAACGCCGAACCAATAAAGTCATCTTGAAGTCCAAAGTCATAGTCAAAGACCTAAAATGCACAGGAGATAAACGCATTTTTCAGTGCGGGAAATTTTTGTGTCTGTGTGTGTGTGTATTTTCTTGCTTTATGAATGGTTCTTGAAACTCCTTTTCCAGAGTTAAGCCAAATGTTCCTCACATGTCAAACCAGGACTGTCTGAAAGTAACCTCCAACTTTCTGGCCACAAAATCAGGTTTGAAACAGCTTATGTAAAAGTGAGAATGCATCATGTTCAAGCACGGGGGTGTACTACTACTAGACTGCATATGTGAACCACATCAACTTTATAAAAACATTTTCATAAGCAGTAAAAGATAGAAGACCAAGAGAATAACAGAAGTTAAGCAGCAGCATTGATTTGCTATATATTAACTGATACCTTCAGCAATTTTGCAAAACACAGGCAGGAGGGCGGGGTATACGATTGTGAAAAGTGGATTATTACAGTCCTTGCATCAGTATTGCGAATGATAAAATTGTAGGTTTTGAAGGTTGCATTAAGTTTTGAGGGCTTAGAAATGTTATAATCTAAGATGAAAACTTAATGGGTGTGTGTAAGGCAACAGTGACATTTATTACTCGACTATGAGGACCCTGCCTGCTGACTTCCTACCTAAAAGAGAAAGCATCTGGACAAACTTAACGACATCCACACAGGAATCTGTGGCCAGTATGTGGAATAGCATCAATGATTTGGGATGGACTATGCCTTCCCCAGTTAGGAGGAAGAATAACAAACTGGGGACAGCATTTGGAGGGAAATAAACAAAAAAAGTCAAGTCCAGAGGAGGCCACAGAAAAGATCTGAGGGCTGGAGCCCCTCTGCTATGGGGAAAGGCTGGGAGCGTTGGGGTTGTTCAGCCTGGAGAAGAGGAGGTTGTGGGGAGACCCAATTGTGGCCGTTCAGGGCTTAAAGGGGGCCCAGAGGAAAGGGGGGGACAGATTTTTTTAGTAGGGCCTGTTACAATAGGATAGGGGGTGATGGTTTTAAACTGAAAGAGGTGAGATTCAGATGAGAGGTAAGGAAGAAATTCTTTACCCTGAGGGTGGTGAAACCCTGGCAGGGGTTGCCCCGAGAGGGGGTGGAGGCCCCATCCCTGGGAACATTCCAGGCCAGGTTGGCCGGGGGCTGTGAGCAACCTGATGTGGTTCAAGGTGTCCCTGCTCCTGCAGGGGGGTTGGGCTGGGTGACCTCTGGGGGTCCCTTCCCACCCAAAACATTCTATGACTCTGTGATTCTATGACACTACAATTTGACCATGTCTTAGAATATGTGAACAAGCATAAAAACTGAAATATTTCACACAGTGTGTTCGGAGTACAAACACGGATAGACGTTACACCCCTTGACACACCCTTCCTAGAAAAAAAATAAAAATACATACACTTATTCCCTTATGAGCCTACTGCAGGGTTGATATTTGACATAAATAAATCAAAACAGATAGCTATGGTGTAAGTGTCCTTCTTTAAACCTGCTTCTCTCTTTTGACAGTGCTGGGAACGTGTTGAGTCCTTAAGAGTCACTAAGCTTAACAGGGGCAGGAAAATGCCAATTGAGAATTAATAATTAACTTTACGCTTTTCTAACAAGAATATGCCTTATCTGAGCAGAAAACATGAAACAATAGTACAGATTGATACTCAAATGATGTTTAAGTTGCATTCATCCACTAAAAAAGTCTACAGTTCCGTATTTCAGTTAAAATTTTTGTCATGCATTTGAGACTAAGACTGATACTGATTTGAAGCGTTATACCATGTCAGAACGATCAAAATGTTTACGTAGGTAAGACTTAAGTTTCCAATCTTTCCCAAAGTCTTTTGACCCATGTATGCTCTAATTAGAACCCTAAGAGTATATTTTTCCCGATAAGATTTTTAGAACTTAATTTTTATGTACTGTATTTTACACAGTTCAGGATCATTTTGGGATATAGATCACCATAAACTACTGGGGCCAGAAACGCACATTTCCATTCCATAAACAATAATAATAATAATAATAATAATAATACATGAAACAAAGATCAGAGCTTTTCTAGTTTCCATTCCAATATGGATAGCTAAGAAGCACTATGGCCCTGCTGCTAATTACCGAGGGCATTGCTGACCTCTCTTTGATTTAAACTCCAGCTATCTGTTATTTTGGAGTAAGTGATCCCTCTATTATGACAAAATCATCCTCACCTGTGATATACGAAGTAGAGTTACAACATTAAAAAAAAAAAAAAAAGCATAAAGCATTAGAAAACATATAAGCAAACTCGCTGTGTTCAAGTACAAACAGAAAAGAACCACAACGTAGGAGAATTGGACACACGTCTTGATAAATTCTCAAATTAACCTCAGCAAAGAATTGCTTTTAATGGGATAGGTTATGCCTCATATCATTATGCAATGATATTTCCATAAATAAAAGGGATGCAATTTTTTTTTAATTTTGACATCATCATTACACCGATGTAATTTAAATAATTTTCACCTCTAAATAGTCTTTAGTAATGCAGTATCGCACAGTAAATTTTTCAGAATACAGAAATTACAAGATATAAATTCTTTCAGTAACTCTTTGGTTGTAATTTGACAGACATAAGTAAGACAGCATCTCACCTTTATGTACAATGGTTCTCTTGGGTTATCTATGAGGATGCAAGCTTTTTCTTCCCACACGGGATTGAGGTTCTTGTGTATTGTTTTACTTCTAAATACTTCTTTTCCTCCAAGTTTGAACTTGACGTAGGGATCACTGGTTCCTGTTAAAGACACATATGTACTGTTAATTATGTCCTTTTAATACATTAAGAGAATGGAGACCAAATTACCTTAAACAGAACTAAATGTAATTTCTACTGACAACCAAATTAAAAACAGCAGCTGAGGAAAGAATTTTTTATTGTCACAATTTATTATTTTCCACGGTGTCATTACTCAGGTAATTCATGGTGTTAGCAACAAATGGGTGCTTGCATCACCTTCTGCTGTTGCAATCCATACTCAAAGTCATACATGAACTACTGGCTATTCCAGCGTAGTTTTTAGTTAACAGAATTATGTCCTTATTACAAGTAGGATTTTATCTTAATGCAATCACAGAAATTAGATTATAAAGTTAAAATTATTCCTGTAAAGTATTAATCTAATTATCCTCTGCCCTTGGAAAGGCACAGGCCCCACTGGCACCACTAGTGTAACTCTTCGTTGACTGCTGTGTCCAGGCTTCCCTCTTCCACAGAGACACACTTCCTACAACGTTCATGATAAGCAAATAAACTCTGAAGTCAGTCCACGAAGTTCACATGCTTCCTACAGCCATCACCCACCTGCAGGAGAGCACGGGTCTAAGCCCTGCCACAGCTGAATAACAATTAACTATGATGAGAAAGACAGCCTTGAGGGCAACTGAAAGAGAAACGTTAAACACAGCAGGAACGGGGAGTGGATGGGACATGGGTGTGGAAGTGTCAGAAGGAACAACTGGCAGAAGGAGGACTCTTGGGGTAGCACGTGCTGGGGGCACAGAGATCAGCAGCCACCCAGGAGCACATTTGTGTCCTCTTCTCAAGACACCCATGCAGGAAGGCAAAGGACAGCAAGCAAAAAGCTGATGGCACACACAAAGGTGTGGCAAGACTGACAGACAAATCACTGCCAGCTACCAGAAGGTACAAAATGGCACATCCAAAACCAGCGCAGACATGGTCACCCCACTAGCAGAAGCCCCGGAGACATGAGGAGGACCAGAAGGCTGGCGTCCTTCCCCTGCCCATCGCACAAGACCCCGACAACACATCTGTGCTTGTGGCTGTGAGCATGTGGGCCTGAGAGTGGGGAAGCAAATGACCAAAATCAAGGTTTCAGTTTAAAACTAAAGCACTTTCCCCAGCCACGAGGTTTCACCCTGAGATTTGCTATGTTGCCGTTACCACACTGCGGTCCTATTTTGCACAATCTGACCTCAACTCCCAGCGCGTTGGCTTGAGCTGACATGGAGGAAGGAGTGAACACAGGGGAAGGAGAGGGAGGAGGGAAGTGGCCAAATGGCTCTTTCACTTGTGTCCAGCAGTCTCACCAGGGAGACCAGTGGCTGAGCAGCAGGAGGCTGCCCCATGATGAACGTTGGAACCATCACGAGCCGTCGCTGCCGCTGGAAGGAGCAACCGCCCCCCCGCTGCCCGTTCCCCTCTGCCGGCACCAACACTTCAGGAACTGGCCAGCAAATGGATTTGGGAAGAGGTCCAGCTGAGGAAGGCAGGCATTTTGCAGCTGGATGGGCTCCAGGGCGTAGCTACAAGACACAGAAGTTGTGCCTGCGACGGTCCTGATGAAACCATCGCCTCCATGGTGGACTGAAGAAAGACTAAGTCTTTTGCACATTTCAATTACAAAAGATACAGGTACATCTTTAAACAAAAGAAAAAAGCTGGATAGCAAATTCAGACTAGTATCTTCCCTAAAATACCAGCTGGTAAGATTTTATTCATATGTATTTTAGTGAAATTAATTTTAATGAAAAATATTGCACAAGATTTGTATTTCTATTTCTCTCTCAGCTACTTCTGAGCCTTAATAATATTTAACTGATGCAAGACTGTCTTAAAATAAAGAATAATTCTAGCACGAATAGTATTTGCATCTTCATGAGCAACAGCAAAATTATAAGGCAGGCTTTTCTTCTTTTAATGCTTTTCATGAGACAGGCATATTCCAGAGGTTCGTGTTCACATCCACTGGGAAATGCAGTCATTAGCTTTTGTTAAAATTGCAGCATGCTCTTCTAAAAAAAAAAGGCTGTTATGACCGGAGCTCTTTGCACTCTTTCGTGCCGCCACAAGATGTCAGTACACTTTACCTAAAATTACACACCCCTTTCAAAGAACTACAGCGGTGGAAAACTGTGGTCTCACACATGATGGGGTTACAGTCATTCCCTTCTGAAATTACTGGGGCAGAATTTTAGTGGCATAAAAATGTTTAGTCTAGCGCAATCAACTTGTTCCTTGGTCATTCAAGTGGTGGTGATGCTCTTTAAGGCAAAGATGACACATTTGAATTAATTCTGTGAAATGTGACGAATACTTTGAACACGGATGCCAACAAATCAACAAGAGTAACACAGGCCACAGCTGCCCCGCAAGCCATAATTCTCCCACTGCTTCTCCTCACCATTGCCATGAGGCACCGATAGCTGGCCTTCAAGCACTATCTTTTACTGTGCAGACTTCACAAATCTCAGAAACCCTTTCAAAATTTGAAACTGATGTGAAAGACCGTTTCACATACATAGCAAATAGGTTTAGGATCCAGATGTCAAATAATTTAATTTGGTTTTATGTGTAAATTTAGTAGTAGGGTGGGTCAAATGTTATTTCCACTTACAACACACTGCAAAGCCTCAGGGTTTGTATCGCTGAGCTATGAACGTAGAGAACCACTAAGAAGCTTGCTTCCACACATCTCTAGTTTAAAGCTCACAACTCATTAGGTCCACTTAGTTAAAAGCTCCACACCCTTCACAGACCTCTTCCATTCCTTGAAAAGAGACCATCAAAGTTATACATACACAAAGAATAGGTATAGAGAAAGACAAGGTTTAAAAAATTAGTCTAAACAGCCGTGCAATCATTCACCACCGCCTACACCTAATGGGAGGGCAAAAGGAGGAGCAGAACAGAGACCAACACTTGGTCCTCTCTCAGAGACTGGCAAGGGTTGGAAGGGCCCTCGGGAGCTCACCCAGTGCCACCCCCCTGCCCAAGCAGGCTCACCCAGAGCAGGGGGCACAGGACAGCGGCCAGGCGGGGGTTGAAGATCTCCAGAGAAGGAGACTCCACAGCCCCCCTGGGCAGCCTGGGCCAGGGCTCGGGCACCCTCACAGTCAACAAGTTCTTCCTCCCGTTCACCTGGAACCTCTTCTGCTTCAGGTTGTGCCCATGGCCCCTTGTCCTGGTGCTGGGCACCACTGGGAAGAGTCTGGCTCCGTCCTCGTGCCCCCCACCCTTGAGATATTTGTAGGTGTTGATGAGATCCCCTCTCAGCCTTCTCTTCTCCAGGCTGAACAAGCCCAGCTCCCTCAGCCTTTCCTCCTAGGGGAGATGCTCCAGTCCCTTTATCATCCTTGTTGCCCTCCTCTGGACTCTTTCTAGGAGTTCCTCATCTTTCTTGAACTGGGGAGCCCAGAACTGGACCCAGTGCTCCAGGTGGGGTCTCACCAGGGCAGAGTAGAGGGGGAGGAGAACCTCCCTCGCCCTGCTGGCCACGCTCCTCTTGATGCACCCCTGAAATGCACCAGGCCACCATCCAGCACTGCTCTGTGCCACAGGATCCCAGTTTTAATATAGAACAACAACGATTTTCACACATATCATATAATTTTAGTCATTGTGCGTTCGTATTGATATGGCACTATTACTAATAAATCAAGCATATGTTAATATGTTATTTAAACACATTATGTAATAACACACTAATACATTTTTAATCAACATCAAGAGTTGAATTTGTATGTTTTTGCTCTTTTTTTAAAGAGAAGAATAAATTCAGTTTACTTGGGATCTTATTGTTAGCAGTGACTACAAGTTCCTTACACAGAACCAGAAAAAAATCAAAGACCACTCAGAGTGAGCCTGCAAGAACCTGACATCGGTCACAGATCCTTGTTACTCAAGCCTCCAGCTTTCCACCAGTTCCCTGCTTACCAAACCATTCAAATGAACTGGACACACCACGGCCTACCCGCACAAACAACTGTCTTATCTGTAGCAGCTAAGAACATCATCGTGGGCCTTCACTGACAAGCTTAAAACCTTCTCTTAAAAGAACAAATGGTGAGGTGCTGCTCTCATGCTGAAGGACCGCTGTTGCCCGTGCCAAGGCAGCAAGGGCTCTTTGCACGGGGTTGTGGCCTCTCCTTTCCTGGGAAACACCATCCGGATTGCATCTCATAAGCAGGTAAAAAAGAAGATTAAAAAATATTTCGCTGGAGAAATATTCAAGGTGTTTGCCTAAAGGAATATTAAACTGGTTTGGGTTTTGGTTTTTTTTTTTTAAATGCCAAACCATAGCATTGTAATAGAGTGGAAATACAGCAAAGGTAAATTTGGCCAGAACAATGAAGTAGTATTGGATAGAAAGAACACACATTCTCAATAAATTGTATACGTTGACTTAATTGGTTCCCAAGGCTCCCTAAGAGGCTTTTCAACATTATTAGACCACTTGTTGAACAGACTTTTTTCCTTAATGAAATCCTATTTAATGTAACGTGATAAACTGCTCACCAAACAAAATTCAACAGTGAATACAGAGGTGAAGGTAACCATGAGACCAAGTAATGAGCTTGAGACTGCTCCCCCGTAACTGCTGCTAATGAGACAGCAAGGATGAGGCAAAGGTCTCCCATATTCCTCTACAGTATTTTTGCACTTGACTGAGTGTGGATGAAATCAAACTACCAGCACACTTAAAAAACCTTGGCTGAAGATCTACCTATCGCATACAGTAACAGGGCTCTGAAATCCTAAAGGCAAACTTTAGAATCTTACACTGAAAAGAGAGAATAGGGGCTATAGAAAAAACAATGTAATATAGATGAATGACACTGAAAAACTGCACTCTCAGCCATCGCTTTGGGTAGGGATGTTTTTCATCTCCACTTCATATAACAAAAAGAAAGAAATTACATTCAGAAAAACGGTGAGTTAGCAAGTGCATTTATTGCACAAGCTAATTAACTGATTTAATGAAAACTGTTTAA